TTATCGTTATATCTACAAAATCAATCTGTAATGACATCATTTTGAGGTTATGTTAGAAGGTTGCAAAATTTATACACGATTCTCTATAATAAAAAAAAATTGTATTGAAAGAAATAAAGATAAATAAAGTACATGATATTTTATTACTAACCTGTATCGATGCAAGTTCGGCAAGCTTATCGGGTAAATTTTTTTGACTAATCGTGTCGTCATCATACATAGGAAGAAGAACGCCGTCAACTTTCATACAAGCTCGACACATATCAGCACAGCTGATTTCCCAGCTCATTGTTATCTTCGGTATTTTAACACATGTAAAATAAGATTTTCACGGTACTCTTGGTCACTTGGAAATAAATGCATTTCACATTTCGCGGTCAGTGTCTTGTTTCCTATGGAACATTACCATCAACATAAAGTTCAATCATTAACTGTAGATAGAGCTTGTAGACTGCACGTGCGTTAAGTGGCAAACTTCATAATATTAAAACGACATCTGATGTACATTATTTTAAATACAAAAGTATGGCAAAGTATAAAACAAACTGTTTTGTACTAAATAATTGTGTTGGATATTTAAATTCCGTGCTAATTTGAATTACATAAATGTATTGTATATATTTTAGTCTACAACGCAATACATAATATAAACAGTATTTTTAACTTTTATTTGAGAAATAATACGATAGCATAAAAGATATTTGTAGAAAATGTAATACATAGTTTATATAAAAACAAGAGAAAATTATAAAATACAGTGCTGCCGCGTTAATTGGCCATTGCTATCCCCACCAGTTCTTGAAAATGGCTTCGTGCAGTAAGCCTTCAGCGTTACGCATCTAAACTAAATAAGGACCTCGATATTTTGCATCAGATATCTGTATTCTACTCGTAATTAATGAAGAAGGAACATACTCGAGATTCCCTAGAACACTATCATTGCTAACCATATGTGCTCCTGAGCCGCGACCAGCTAACGCAACAAATACAGTATATTTATTTTTATGCAATTTTGTTACTAAAAAAAATTGCTGTAACAAATTTATAATACATTTGGACAGTTGATTCACAGGAACTTTATTCGTATATAGTTTTATTTCATATTTTCGTATTGATTTAATATTTCTATTCGGCTTGGCACGAGTAAGATATATAAATACATATGTGTATGAATACTTTGCAGATTTATTTATAACATTGTTTTCTGTTTCTTCTTAAAAGTTGTTCGAAATAATGTATCGTACAATTTTAACTTATATGATATATTTATGAGTATATACAGATCGACAAAGCAAAGATGAGGTTTTTGACGTCATTGCACCACCAAATGAGCGGGAAATAGGCGGACACGCCATTCCCGCCACTCTTCGGTCCTACACTGATATCACCGTTTGAGAGGAAGTTAAATGGGTTAGACAAATGATTTTCAATCACCTTTCGATAATAAATCAGAGTAGTCTTACCAGTCAACAATTTCAATATCCAAGAATGCTTTTTTCAAGGATGCTTTTAAGAATGATTACACTTAAGGTTAGTCCGATTTATGTCATATTTTTGTAATCATTTTCATTCGGAGACCCTTATCGATCCACTGGTACTATTTTCATAAAGATAATGATAAAAATTATAAAAATGAAATTATTTTCTTGATCTATTATCGACTGGTCACCCGTTATCGACTGTTCACACGAGGCTCGATCGTCCTCGTTGTTTACAGAAGAGTAAGTGCGATGGCCTTACTTTACCGCTATTGGCTAATTAAACAACGACGTCAGAATTTCTCCTACATCTCCCACTTCTAGACCCTAAGGCCCGCTTGAAACCTCGTCTTTGCTTTGCCAAACTGTGCACGAGAATTTACTCGTCCTACCACAAACTACGCATAAGTATATTAATCGATGTAATTGGTATTTGACATGTGCTCTCTAGAGAGATATAATTAATTTAAGTGCAGCTTAGAAGATATGTATTCGATTTGTTAAAATTTCGATACCCTTTTATAAAGATATTCATCCTAAATCACCGTCGCTAATAACCACGCGTGTGCAGTTAATGCGACGTTAAAACTCGATGAAAAAAAAAGTCAGAAATAACTTCTATCGCACTCTTTTAAAAGCAGAAGTACATCCTGATTTTTTAATGGTTGGAGGCATAAATGTGCATATTGCAGATCAAAGGTAATCAATACTGTCGCTTAAAAAAGAATGCATTTCTTTCAGTACTTTGATACGCAACGATGATACGATACGCGGAAATGCAACAAATGGATACGCAACGGTGATACGGTGCGTGCAACTTTATTAATTACGAATAACAATGCACATTACGATACAATCCTTTCAAAAAACGTGATTTTTAATACGCTCTACTGTTTTCCACGATAAACTTTCCTTAGTCGAGGTTAAAAGCTACTTATCACGACATTCCAAGAATTGAGGCTATTAATTGCCCGAGGGATAAAGGTGACAAGGTGTTCTTGAGTCACGTAGATAAGAACACGACTTATTAGGGTCAGTGTTATGCAAGCTGTCATTCATACATATATTATTTTTGTCAGTTTTACCCCTAAAAAGTGTTCCCTAACAGAATAAACAGCAGATAGAATTTCAAACAGAAAAAAATCCTTCTTTTTTCTCTTTTGCTTAATTCCGTCAATTTAGCCTATTAATTTCTCATTTGTTCCCAGTACATTTCATTTAACCCTTTTAATCCCATCGATTCGGTTCACCTGTGAAGTACCTTTCCCGCCGAAATTTCCAGCTACTCTGAAAATTAAATATCTCGAAAAATATGGCGACTGGAACATATTTTTTTAATAAAGTATGATTCCTAAAAATACACGAACCTCTCATGTCAGGAGTAAAAGGGTTAATATTGCTCTAAGCTTCTTGTAAATATTTGTGACACATCGGTTACAGTTATCCAGTACATTCTTTTTTGTCACGATCCAATTGAATTATAATTCCAATTCGAATCTCGAATCGCACTTCGGTAATGTTAGCTTTAACACGTAAATGCAATATTTCTAATAAACCAACTGCACCTGTACGTAAAAGCTTGTTTTGTCCGGAATAACGAAGGATGCTCGAAACTTTTCACCAACGGTGCACATATACGAGGTAGATAAATTCTTAATGACATCGGATGTAGCAGCGCGCTAGCTTTTAAATTCTCTAACGACTAAACAATTAACATGAACATTTGTTCGCCGCAACTTGGACCATTCTCGAATAAGTTTACGCTGAAACAAACGTCGTTAATCAAGCGAGGTGAGTTGCTGTTTACTGCAGCGGTTTTTTAAGACACCGCACGACTTCGCGTGGTGAATGTAATACGAGGAAAAATCAACAGCTTCGGTAGAAGGGTTGTGCCACATCAGCTCTACTCGCCGAGCATTTTCTCCTCTGAGTACCACTTTTTCTCTGTCAAAACGATTGACAATTTGTGACAGTATTTAGTGATAAGCTTGAGATAAAACAGAATTCATTGTATGTCGTTTGAAAAGTTAATGCAGAACGTATTCGTATTAAAGGTATATCTCCATTTTTTTTTCTTTTTTTTTTTTTCGTTTCGTGTGTGTATGTGTGTTTGGTGAATTTCGACTGTTCGGACATCATCCCACTCACTTTCCCATCCCGAGACGACGGAACTTTCGATCAAGATTCGCCGAGAGCCGTGTCCGAGAGCTTCTTCGTGGAATTCGAAATCAAAAGTTCCGACGTGCCGGGTGCACCGTAACCGAACGGGCGTAAAGATACTAACATTTTTTTATTTCTTTATTCTTACTTTTTTCCTCGTTTTAATACGTCTACGTGGCACAAACTAAGAGTATCAATTATTCTCGGTGTACCCTACACGTTAGCGGTCTCATTGACACGGCGAACGACCAACGAGCTCGAGGAAACTAACCGAAAAGAAAGAACGAAAGGAACAAAGGGTGCACGCGTGTGCACCATGACCCGCAACGAGACCGAGAGAAAGAAATGAACGTGACAAGAAGCGAAAAGTTCGCGAAATGGGCAAAAATAGTAAGCGAAACCTCTTAACACACTTAAAGATCACGATACTACGACCACTCCCCTTCGCCCCCGATAGAAAGAAGAGATACCGCCGCTCCTTTTGTGCAGAATTTTTCCGCTAAACTGTTTTCCTTTTGTGCATCCTGATACATACGCGTACTCGCGTACGTGTGTGTACGTGTATGTGTGTTTCTGTTGACACGCGTTGATACACGTGTACGTGCATTAGCGCGCGCGCGCGTGTGTGTGTACACATATATACACGACTTGTATATAGCCAATTCCACTGGTCCGTTTGATCGTTTTATGAAATACAATCATTTTGCTCGTGGAAGCGATTACGCGATTATGAATGAAACGAACACATACAACGGATAATGCATTTGAACAACGGTCCTTTCTTTTTTTTTTTAAATATAAATGATTGTCATTCATATCGTATCAATTCTCGTGTCATTAATTCCAAGTCCACGAAAAATTGGTAGTATATTCAATGTTAGTGAAAATTGACAAATGATCTGAAACTTTTGTCTTAAATAGTACAAATTACGTACATATTTTCTTTCTTTATACGTACACTGTGAATTCTTGTTCATCTCGCTGGTATCTTTGAAACAATGTCAGATAAATGATAGATTGAAATGCATAGAACGACTTCGCTTTCATTTCTCATCCCACTGACACTATTTAATTTCCCTATATGAAAATTAATTGTAAAATCCTTACGTGAATTTTAATCAGTCACGGTTATATTTAGAAATGCATTAATCTCTTCTGTTATGAATATACGTGTACCAGATAACGAGAGTAATAAGTTTAGGATGTATTTCGTAATAAATTTTTCTGTCGATTTTTTGTTGGAAACGTTAACTTACACGTAAATGATCTTATTGCAATTTTTCTGTAAAATTATCGACGCGTGAAGTGAAGAAAGTTTAACAATCGATTTTGGAGGTAAAATTCTGTGTAATATTCAATAATCAATGAAAATTGATAATTTTTCACGATTTACAAGTTACAGCCACATAAAACAATTTTTATCCCCGAAATAATTAATGGCTTATT